GTGGTTCGACTTTATCAACCAAAATCTATGTCCACTACCTTAGCTATCCACACTAAGGATTTTCCAACAAATTCACTAATTTGTTCTTTCTTTTGAGGCCAAAGAGATAACCTTACAACTCCCTCAAGAATATACCCCAAATCTTGAGAACACTCTTTTCTCAAAGAGAAGATTACAAATTTGCAAACTTACAAGAAAAAACCTCACTAGGAAAATATGTTTGCATAATTCTAGAACAAAGAAAGAACACTCAAGAATAAATACAATTGAGCACAATAAGTGTTCTTGAAAGCAAAATGAATATTGAATGAAAAATAGGCTTTAAAATGCTCAAACTTGAGGTTTGATGCTTTCTCTTTGATTCTCTCTTGATTCTAGTTGCTTGATGTTTCTTGTTATTGATCAATGGCTTCTAAGCTTGTTTAAATACACCTTAAAATGATTCTAAACATTGGGGATGATTAGTGGAATCAATAGAGCCGTTATTGTGTGAAAACAATTAATAAAACTGGTTGGAAGCATCAGTGCATCGATGCATGACCATAGTGCATCGGTGCATCGGTTTAAAATTCAAATATTTTTGTCCGTTGGAACACTTAGTGCATCGGTGCACCAAGTGTGCATCGATTCATAAAATGCATTCGATGTTTGAAAATAGCCTGAGTGCATCGGTGCATTGCTTGTGCATCGATGCATGAAATGCATTCGATGTTTTAATAAAACCCAAGTTCATCGATGCACAGAGAGTGCATCGATGCATGAAATGCATTTGATGTTCAATTTATTCAATGGTGCATCGATGCATGGATTGATGCATCGGTGCATGCCTTTGAAAAATTGATTTAAGGCTTGATTTTGGTTCAAAATACTTTGTGAAAATTGTTTCAAAAATAGTTTAAGTACAAATCACAATTTTACACATTTAGTAAGGATTAAAATTGATCTTGAAAGACTTGGAGTAATAATTTGATATCCGATTAATTAATTTGAATATACCTTAGAAAATCATTTGTAAAATCTTAAAATTCATTTAACTTAATTTGTTATATCGAAATATCAAAATGTTTTCAATAATCTCCCCCTTTTTGATATAACAAAACACTTGAGTAATTTTAAGATTTTCTTTGAAAAACTATTTTGAAAATCAAGTTTGAAATTACTCCCCCTTACTATAACATTTCTCCCCCTTTAAATCATTTTACACTTCTCCCCCTTTTTGTTAAATCAAAAAGACTCTAAAATAACTTTACACAAGGTTTTGAAAAACTTAGCCAATTTATATTTAGAAACTTAAAGATTAAGCTGTTAAGATCAAAGATCAAAAGAGAGATTAGCCATTAGTTTCATAATCAATATTCATTATAAAATGTGAAATGACATAATTGGTTATAATGCAACTAATAAGTAAATGATGCAAAAATTAAACGAAACCAAATAAGTTCAAACAACCAATGATTCAACTCCAAAAACAACAAAAATGTTTAATCAATCCAAGTTTTAAGTTTAATTCCAAATATAATCAAACTAAAATAAGTCTAATCATCCATAGAAGGATCGGGAGGCAGAGGAGGAAATCGGGCTTGCATCTCAAGAGAGAGAGCATCCATGCGTGCAAGCATCTCCCTTTGAAACTCCATCTGACGAGCTTCCAAAGTGTCTAAGCGTTGATTTACTGCTTCGTGAGTAGCAGTCAAGTGGGATTCGATGGAAGCATACCGTAAAAAAAATGTCTCCAAAAACGAACGAAAATATGAAGGCATTTGATCTTCTTGTGGAGATGGTTCCGGTGCAGGCTCATCATCGAGTACGTGATCATCGATGTCTTGAATAAGATGTTGAAATTCAGGATCATCGTCAGAAGCCGGAGCCGGAGGAGGAGGAGGAGCACGAGAAGAACTAGGAGCAGCTCGTGAGGAACTAGCTCCCGGAGTTTTGAAGATGAAAAGCACGAAGAAACCGATGATTTTTCGATGATTTTGAGCAAGAGGAGGATTTAGAGTGAGAGAGGGATGAACGGTGGGAGAGTTTTTAGTTTTAGGGTTTGAGAAAATAAGAAAATGAGGCATTTTAACCCAAAACCCGACGGATGCATTGATGCATGACCTTGTGCATCGATGCACATTCAAGGCGTGCATCGGTGAATCAACATGATAAATCGATGCACATTCAAAGGGATGCATCGATGCACTGTTAAGTGTACCGATGCATAAAGCACAGAAATGTCAAAAATCCGTTTTAAACACTTAAAATGCTAAATTAATTAGATTTAGTGGTATTGGCAAACCATATATTGAAGATTAATCATGATCAATCAATCAAATTAATCCTTTAAATTTCATTTAAACATAAAATTAATTTTCATCAAGCAGCATAAACTCCCCCTAACTAATAGCAAAGAATGCAATAAAAAATTATTATTATAAGCATTTTTCATGTATTCTTAAAAGTGCTAAAATTATTTTAAACACTAAGTGAAGATAGGTTGGTCAAACCTAATTCTCTCCTAAGTGTCCAAAATCTTTCCTTGTCTAAAGGTTTTGTAAAGATATCCGCTAATTAATGCAAAGTATCAACAAATTCTAGAACTACATCTTCCTTAGTGACATGGTTTTTAATGAAGTGATGTCTTGTTTCAATGTGCTTAGTTCTAGAGTGTTGGATGGAACTTTTAGTGAGACAAATAGCACTAGTATTGTCACACTTGATAGGAATAGTACCTACTTCAATTCCATAATCAAAAAGTTGTTGTTTCATCCATAAAACTTGTGCACAACAACTACCGGCTGAAATGTATTCCGCTTCAGTGGTAGATAATGCAACATAATTTTGTTTCTTTGAAAACCAAGAAATCAACATATTTCCAAGGAATTGGCAAGTACCGGCTGTGCTTTCCTATCTAATTTGCATCCTCCATAATCCGCATCAGAAAAGGCATGCAAGCTAAAGCTAGAGTCTCTAGGACACCAAAGTCCTAAACTAGGAGTGTCCTTAAGGTATCTAAAGATTCTCTTAACAACTAGTAAATGTGATTCCTTAGGGAATTATTAAAATCTAGCACATAAGAAAACACTAAACATAATGTCCGGTCTACTTGCAGTTAGATACAGTAAAGATCCAATCATTGACCTATATAATTTAACATCTACACATTTACCTTCTTCATCTAAGTCAAGCTTTGTTGAAGAGCTCATTAGAGTGTCATGAGGCTTGCCATTTTCCAGTCCAAATTTCTTGAGCATATCTTTGACGTACTTAGATTGATTGATGAAGATACCATCTTTTCTTTACTTGATTTGGAGTCCCAAGAAAAATGAGAGCTCCCCCATCATGCTCATTTCGAATTCGCTTTGCATTAGCTTAAAAAATTCTTGGCAAAGAACATCATTAGTAGAACCAAATATTATATCATCTACATAAATTTGAACTACTAATAAATATTTACCTTTATGTTTTAAAAATAATTTAGTGCCAACTTTCCCTTTTGAAAAACCTTTTTCAATTAAAAAGTTTGACAATCTTTCATACCAAGCTCTAGGAGCTTGTTTTAAACCATAAAGTGCTTTTGTCAATTTAAGAACATGATCCGGAAATTTTGAATCTTCAAAACCTGGAGGTTGTTCCACATAGACTTATTCCTTTATAAAACCATTTAAAAATGCACTTTTAACATCCATTTGATATAATTTAAATTCATGAAAACATGCAAATACTAACAACATTCTAATTGCTTCCATCCTAGCTACGGGAGCGTATATTTCATCATAGTCTATGCCCTCTTCTTGAGTATACCCTTAAGCAACAAGTCTAGCCTTGTTTCTCACTATATTACCACTCTCATCAAGCTTATTCCTATATACTCATCTAATACCTACAGTAGATTTATTACTAGGCCTTTTAACTAATGTCCATACTTTACTTCTCTCAAATTGATTTAACTCTTCTTGCATAGCCATAATCCAATGTTCATATTTTAATGCTTCTTTGATGTTCTTAGGCTCTATGCATGAAATAAATGCAACATAATTACAAATATTTCTAAGAGAAGATCGAGTAGTTACCCCTTTGGATGGATCACCTATAATTTCACCATCCTTGACATAGTTGTACTCTCTTGGGGTAAGAAACTTCCCTTTCTTCAATGGTTGGATTCTCTAAAGGATCATGAGATTCCTCATCTTTCGTTTCCTCCTTTGATGATGATGATTCTCCAACGTCATGTCTAACGTCATTTGCTTGTACAATACCTACATCATCATTAACACAAGAATCCTTCCTCGGAAGGGGATTATCATCGAAAACAACATGTATAGACTCTTCTACAAATAAAGTTCTTTTATTAAATACACGATAAGCTTTAGAATGTAAGGAATAACCCATAAAAATTCCTTCATCACTTTTAGCATCAAATTTGCCAAGATTTTCTTTACCGTTGTTTAAAACAAAACATTTACATCCAAAAGGATGAAAATAACTAATGTTAGGATTTTTATTTTTGAAAATTTCATATGGAGTTTTCTTTAAAAATGGCCTAATCATTACTCGATTAATAATATAACAAGCGGTATTTGTGGCTTCCGCTCAAAAATATTTTGGCAAATTATTTTCACAAATCATGGTTCTAGCCATTTCTTCTAAAGTTCGATTTTTCCTCTCAACAACTCCATTTTGTTGAGGGGTTCTAGGTGCTGAAAAATTGTGGCTAATACCATTAGAATTACAAAACTCATTAAATCCAAGATTTTCAAATTCAGTGCCATGATCACTTCTAACACTAGTGATAGAGTAACCTTTTTCGTTTTGGATTACTTTTGAAAATGTGATGAAATTTTCTAATGCTTCATCTTTAGTACTTAAGAATAGAACCCAAGTATATCTAGAATAGTCATCTATCAAGACAAATGCATATTGTTTTCCACCCAAGCTAGTAGTTATAGTTGGCCCAAAAAGATCTATATGGATAAATTGTAATACTCTACTAGTTGATACATCATTAATGGATTTAAAAGAAACTCGCTTTTGTTTTCCTTTAGCACAAGCATCACAGATTTTATCATTATCAAATTTTAGTTTAGGCAACCATCGAACTAAATCACCTTGAATTAGCCATTGCAAAACACTCATACTAGCATGTCCTAGTCTCCTATGCCATAACCAACTATCATGCTCATCCTTAGCAACTAGGCATAAATTAGTCACATTAATAAAATCTAAATGCACCATGTAAATGTTTCCTATCCTATGACCAACAAGCATAATCCGATTAGATGCAATGTCAATGACTTTACAACCATTAATTTCAAACATGACATTGAATCCCTTATCACATAATTGACTAATACTCAAAAGATTATGCTTTAAACCATTCACATATAACACATTTTTAATTTGTATGGAAGAGATATTACCTATAGTACCAATACCTTCAATGTGACCTTTTGAATTATCACCAAAAGTCACTTCTCCTCCATTTTTGATGTTAAACTCTATGAACCGGCTTTTGTCTCCGGTCATGTGTCTCGAGCATCCACTATCAAGGTACCATGAATTTGGATTTGTTTCCCGTGCCTTGTAGCAATGCTCCTTTTCCTACAAACATAGATTAATTTCTAATTTTTGGTACCCAAATTCTTTTGGGTCCATATTCATTAGTTTCTAAAATCCTTGTCCCCTTAGGTGTCCATTTATGAAGGATATTTTTATCTTTAGTAGTAATGAGTTCTTTAGGAACCCATATACTTCTAATGATTTTACCATTTGAAGTTCTTTGAGGACTTCTATGATTTTAGTTTCTAAAACTTTTCTTAACAAAGTAGGATTTTGAATTCTCACCCTTTTCAAAACTTTTTGTACCAACCTTATTAAAAGAAGTTTTAAGATCATCAATCTTCTTTTGATGATCATCATGAACTTTTGAAAGTAAGTTATGCAAATCAGTATTTTTCTTTTCAAAATCATTAATTTTGATTTGCAATTCTTTGATCTTACTTTCAAGCTCATTGTTGGTCTTGGATAAAAGACTATTTTCGTTTTTCAATTTTGAAATATCATTTTTTTATTTTGAAAATAGAGTCTTATAATCCGAAGCCAAATCAATATAATCCTCTAATAACTCGTCATAAGATAATTCATCCGAATCGAATGAGTTAGAGGTTACCTTAGAATCTTCCCCGGTAGCCATTAAGCACAAGTTTGCAACTTCTTGTTCCTCTTTATCGGAACCTTCTTCATCCCTCCATGTAGCTACATGAGCCTTGTGCTTCTTTTTGGATTGACCCTTTTTCTTCAATTGTGGGTAATCATATTTGACATGCCCCGGTTTTTTGCATTCATATCAAATGATCGAGTCTTTCTCCTTCGATTCAGTTTTGAAGCCTTCATGAGGTTTGAATTTTCTTCCTCGGTTGGGCATCATCAACTTTCTGAATCGTTTGGCAAATAATGCCATTTCCTCATCATCATCATCGTCACTCGAATCACTCTCATCTTTTGTGGATTTGAGAGCAACTCCAATGTTTTTCTTCTCCTTCTTCTCCTTTGGTGTCTCGTCAATCTTATCGAGGTCCACTTCATCTTCAAGTATCATTTCATGAGTGAGAAGGGAACCGATTAGTTCTTCAAGAGTTAAGGACGTTAGGTCCTTAGACTCGATGATTGTCGTCTTCTTTGATTACCATGATTTTGGAAGGGAGTATACTAACTTCCTCACAAGCTTTTCATTTGAAATGATCTCTCCATATGATTTAAGACCATTGACAATCGTTGAAAATCTATTCGTCATAGCTTTGATATCTTCATTTAGTTTCATCCTGAAATTTTCATAGCTATGCGTTAGAATACTAATTTTAGATTTATTTACCTCATCGGTACCTTCATGAGTGACTTGAAGTTTGTCGCATATTTCCTTGGTGGTTGTACAAGATGAAACTCTTCCGTATTCATCTGGTCCAAGAGCACAAAATATGATATGGATGGCTTTAAAGTTGAGCTGGAACATTCTTGTCTCTCCTTCACTCCACAATCTTGGATGAGAAAGAGGCTTGATGTATCCTTCTTCTACGGCATTCCATGCTCCCATGTCACTTGCTTGAATGAAGTACATCATCCTATTTTTCCAATAGGCATAGTTAGCTCCATTGAAGAAAGGAGGCTTATTGACGGGCATCGAATCGAGACCGGAGTCATAATTTGAAGCGGAGGTCATTGATGACTTGATAATCGATGTAACTCTTCCCGAATCGACTCAAGAGGCGATTAAACCTTCAAATGAGTAAGGCTCTAATACCAATTGTTGAGTTAATCGATCGATGGAATCGGCCAAGAGGGGGTGAATTGGTAATAAAAATTTTGGTGGAAGCTTTTGCAGAAAATTGAAAGTAATTGCACAGCGATTTATAGTGGTTCGACTTTATCAACCAAAGTCTACGTCCACAACCTTAGCTATCCACACTAAGGATTTTCCAACAAATTCACTAATTTGTTCTTTCTTTTGAGGCCAAAGAGATAACCTTACAACTCCCTCAAGAATATACCCCAATTCTTGAGAACACTCTTTTCTCAAAGAGAAGATTACAAATTTACAAACTTACAAGAAAAACCCTCACTAGGCAAATATGTTTGCATAATTCTAGAACAAAGAAAGAACACTCGAGAATAAATACAATTGAGCACAATAAGTGTTCTTGAAAGCAAAATGAATATTGAATGAAAAATAGGCTTTAAAATGCTCAAACTTGAGGTTTGATGCTTTCTCTTTGATTATCTCTTGATTCTAGTTGCTTGATGTTTCTTGTTATTAAACAATGGCTTCTAAGCTTGTTTAAATACACCTTCAAATGATTCTAAACGTTGGGGATGATTAGTGGAGTCAATAGAGCCGTTATTGTGTGAAAACAATTAATAAAACTAGTTGGGAGCGTCGGTGCATCGATGCATGACCATAGTGCATCGGTACATCAGTGTAAAATTCAAATATTTTGACCGTTGGAACACTTAGTGCATCGGTGCACCAAGTGTGCATCGATGCATAAAATGCATTCGATGTTTGAAAATAGCCTGAGTGCATCGGTGCATTGCTTGTGCATCGATGCATAAAATGCATTCGATGTTTTAATAAAACCCAAGTACACGATGCATAGAGAGTGCATCAATGCATGAAATGCATTCGATGTTCAATTTATTAAATGGTGCATCGATGCATGGATTAATGCATCGGTGCATGCCTTTGAAAAATTGATTTAAGGCTTGATTTTGGTTCAAAATACTTTGTTAAAATTGTTTCAAAAATAGTTTAAGTACAAATCACAATTTTACACATTTAGTAAGGATTAAAATTGATCTTGAAAGACTTGGAGTAATAATTTGATATCCAATTAATTAATTCGAATATACCTTAGAAAATCATTTGTAAAATCTTAAAATTCATTTAGCTTAATTTGTTATATCGAAATATCAAAATGTTTTCAACACTTCTGAATATCTTCTCCCTTTCTAGAAGTTCTATTCATCATCTTCGCACGAATAATCTCCATCATGGTCAAGATAGGCTTGTCTCTTGCCTCCAGAATCATCTTGTAATATAAAAGGGTCAAAATACATTAGTAAAATGAAAATAACATTGAATTTACAGTAAATAAATTTTGAAATTATATATACCTTATTGAAATATTCTGAAAAATTGTTTAATAAGAGGTCACATTTTGACCTTGTGGAAAAATGAGATTTAGACCACATGGCAGCATCCTTTGACTTTAACCAGTTATAAGCATCATCTGACATCCCTCTTATTTTTGACATGGCTCTATCAAAATCCCTCATAGTAGTTTCCCTTGCAGCTTTCCACAAAGAATCTTTCAATGCTTTTACTTTATAGCCCTCTACATTCTTAAAATTTGAGTATAAATGCCTAACACAAGTTCTATGTTCAGCATTAGGATACAACTTCAAAATTGAGTCAACAAGTCCCTGCCACATTTCAAAACTAGTACAACCAATAAATATCAAGAGCCATAAATAGAAAATAAACAAGTACAATCAATAAATAGCAAATAAATGATAAGAGCAACGTAAGGAGGAGTGGCAACAAGGGGAATTGGGGATGGTAGTTTGTTTGGCTAAGAAAGTTCATTCATGAGTGCCATTTGATATTTATGTTTTATATTTTTCACGTTATTGTTAGAGGGACATTATTGAGGCACTGATGATGATTTGTTTGGAGATATTGTTTGCCTCTACCTGCGAGCCAGATGCTTTGTAGGTTAATCTGATTTTCAGCTTTTTCATCATATGAAAATACATACGACACTGCTTGCATTGCAAGGCGTGACATATCAACCTCATTTTCTTTTAGAAATCAGTTTCAGCTGAGACTTGTGCAATATATTTTGTTGGAACAATGATGTAAACCTTCTTTTTATAGATGGTTTTGAATACAAAAAAATATGGCTTCTTCCTAAAAAAAGAAAATAAATGATAAACTTTTACCTTTTGTGTATCAGACATAAATATGACATGATGAGAGTTGAATATGTCCAAGTCTTCTCCCAATAATTACAGGAACCATTACCAAATATCACGATTTTCAGATTGCACAACTGCCACTGCTATGAGATAAATGCAATCATTTGCATCAATTCCCACAGCAGCTAATATGTAACCCTGGTAATAACCCTTCAGAAAACATCCATCAAGAGAAATGAAGGGTCTATAGTGATTCTTAAACCCTAGTTTGCAACCCTGCAAACACATGTACAACCTAACGAAGAGTCTGTTGTATAACTTGTATATTGTGGTTGTACCAGGATTTGAGTGTCTCATTTCTCCTAGGTATTCATATATGTTGCTATATTGTTCTGTAAAACAACCTAAGACCTTTTCTATAGCCAATTTTCTAGCCCTAGAACATTTTACTAAACACACATAAGTTCCATAAGCTTATCTAATATCTTACTGCAGTGAGACAATTGAATACGTGAGGTCAGTCTTAAATTTTACAAAAAAACGTTTTGGCATTCCAC